GAGAGAGAGAGAGAGAGAGACAGAGACAAAGAGAGAAATATTGTGTAATTAGTCATGGAACAATTCATGAAGTCATAGAAATCCTAAATATGCATATACTAAAGAACAAAGCTACAAAATAGGGGGATATATGTATTACAGAACTGAAAGGAAGAAAAGACAAATCTAGGATTATAGATTAGTTGAAGATTTCAACAATTTTTTCTCAATGTTTCATAGAAAAAAATAGAAAATTAGCAAGGATACATACAAATCTCAAAAACATTTTTAATGGATAAGAAATAATTGATATCTGTAAGACACTTTATTAAACAATAGCACAATATTTTCTTTTTAAATGCCCACAGAATACTCACCTAGATAGGCCCTAAATGAGATCATACAAATAAATTCAACAAATATAAGATAATTGAAAATATAAAGTGTATTTTATCAACGCAGAGAAATCAAATTAATGACAGACAAAAATAATGACAAGAGAAAAAAATTCTTAATACTTGGAAATTTACCACTTCTAAGCATCACAATTTTTATAAAGGAAATTTCAAGGAAAAATTTTTAAAAATGTACTTTACTGAATCAAAATTAAAATATAGCATATAAAACTAGTGGGGCATAGTGAAAGCATTGTTGAAAGGGGAATATAAAATGTACATTTAGATGCAGATTATAAATGAAGATATAGTGAAGATATTAGTAAAGAGGAAAAATCTCACAACTATATCCCGATATCTTTCCTCAAAATGAACTCATATAGGCAGAATAAGAAAAATAATATGGATAAGAGCAGAATTTATAAAATGGAAAAAAGAAAGAATCTATCAATGAAACAAAGAGCTGCTTCTTTGACAAGATCATAAAATTTGCAAACATATATCAAGAACACCAAAGGGAAAATAGAGAGTACACAAATTACAAATTTTAAGAGTGGTGATATAAATACAAACTACATATATCTAAAGAAAAACAAGGGAATACTATGAATAAGTACACATCAAAGTTTGACAACTTAGAAAAATGGAATAATTTCTTGAAAAATCACAACTGTCCTAACTTATCTAAATGAAGTGGATAATTTTCATAGCTCTATATATATGAATGAAATTAAAATTGTAATAAAAAACTACCAGAAATAAATCTAGAGAATTCTACTAGATGTTTAAAAAGTAATTAACACCAATTCTAAGCAATCTCTTCAGGAAATAGAAGAGGAGATATTACTTTTGAATATTTTTCGTGAAGCTATTGTTATCCCCTTACCAAAATCAGAGGAAGAGAATAAAAAATATATAGAGACAAATATCCTTCATAAATATAGACACAGAAGTACCTAAGAAAATATTAATATATAGTCCTTAGACTTCAGTACTTTATTTCAAAATATTATGGAGGTACAAATATTTTTGGTTACTTGTATTGTTTTTTTTTTTTTTTTGTACTTTAATCAGGGTACTAAGTGTGCACATCACCTAGATAGTGTTAATTGTCCTTGGTAGGTAGGTCTTTGCCCATTCCCTCCTCCCCTACTACTGAATTTCCACTGAGTTTTACTTCCTCTGTGTGCCCATGTATGCTCATCAGTTAGTTTCAATTTAATAGAAAATATAAGTGGTGTTTGTTTTCCCATTCTTAACTACTTAGGATAATTGTCTTTGGTTTCATCCAAGTAGCTGCAAAAGGCATTAAGTCATGCTTCTTCATGGCTTAGTACTATTCTGTGTGCATGTGTGCGTGTATATATATATATACACATATATATGTATACATATACATACATATACACATATATATGCATACATATAGATACATACATATCTGTGTGTATATATATACACACATATATATACATATGCATACATATACACATATATGAATACATATACATACATATATATGTATATATACCACATTTGTTAATTCACTCATGAGGTGATGGGTACATGGGTTTAGTCTACATCTTTGTAATTGCTAATTGTGCTGCAATGAACATTCAAGTACAGTGTTTTTGAAATAAAATGAATTATTTTTCTTTGGGAAAATACCCAGTAGTGAGATTGCTGGATCAAATGGGGTGTCCCCTTTAAGTTCCTTAAGGTCCCTCCATTCTGTTTCCATAGTGAGTGTACTAACTTGCAGTTATACCAACAAAGGCTAAATGTGCCTTTCAACATCCATACCAACATATATTATTTTTAGATTTTTTTTAACCTTTTTTTTTGAGACAGAGCCTCAAGCTTTCCCCTTGGGTAGAGTGCTACAACATCCCAGCTCACAGCAACCTTTAACTCCTGGGCTCAAGTGATTCTCCTGCCTCTATCTCCCAAGTAGCTGGGGCTACAGGTGCCTGACACAACGCCCAGCTATTTTTGGATTTTATTAATAAAAGCCATTCTAACTGTGGTGAAGTGATATCTCATTGTGGTTTTAATTTGCATTTCCTTGATTATTAATAATCCTCATCATTTTTATGTTTATTTTACATTTACATTTATTTGACATTTATTTGACATTTGTCTACCTTCTTCTGAAAAGCCTCTCTCCATATCTTTTACACACTTTTTTTTTTTTTTTTTGCAGGGCTGGGTTTGAAGCTACCACCTCTGGTATATGGGGCTGGTGCCCTACTCTTTTGAGCCCCAGGTGCTGCCCTCTTTTACACACTTCAATGGAGTTGTTTAATTTTTCCCTGCTGATCTGCTTGGATTCTCTGTAGATTCTGGTAAGTAGTCCTTTTCATACATGTCGCTTGAAATCACTTTCTCACATTCTGTAGATTATCTATTTTGTTTGTTTATTATTTCCTCATATGGGCAAAAGCTTTTTAATTTAAACAAGTCTCATTTATTCATTATTGTTGTTGCTGTGATTATCACTTGGTGGTTTTTCATAAATTCTTTGCCTGGGTTGCTATCTACGTGAATTTTTTTCCATATTTTCTTCTAGAATTCTTATAATTTTGCACCTTACATTTAAATCTATTATTTGTCTTGAATCAATTTTTGTGAGTAGTGAGAAATATAGATCCTTTTTCACATTTTTGTATGTGGCTATTCAATTTTCTCAGCATCATTTATTGAATAGGACTTCTTTTCCCCAGTGTATATTGCTGTCTTCTTTGTTAAAGAACAGATAGTTGTAGGCGTATGGTTTTATATCTGGGTTCTCTGTTTTGTCCATTGTCCAGGTCTCTATTTTTGTGGGAATACCATGCTTTTATTGGTTAGTATAACCTAGTATAGTCTCAATTCTGGTATTGTGTTGCCTGCAGATTTTTGTTTTGTTTTGAGACAGAGTATCACTTTATCCCCTTTGGTACAGTGCCATGGTGTCATAGCTCACAGCAACTTCAAACTCTTGAGCTCAAGTGATTCTCTTGTCTCAGTCTCCTGAGTAGTTGGAACTACAGGCACCTGCTACAATGCCTGGCGATTTTTAGAGATGGGATCACACTCTTGCTCGGCTGGTTTCAATCCTGTGAGTTCAGGGCAATCCACCCACCTCAGCCTTCCAGAGTGCTAGGATTATAGGCGTCAGCCACCGCACCCTGCCAAGGTTTGTTCTTTTTGCTTAAGATCGCTTTAGCTTTTTGAGCTCTTTCTGGTTCCAAATGAAGCATAGAATTATTTTTTCTAGATCCATGAAGTATGATGTTGATAAACAGAAACATAAA